CCTGGTCTAGTTTGTGTTCATGAAATTGCAGTTTTTAGTATTTTTCTCAGTTTTAGTCAAAATGATTATTTATATAGTTCATGAAATTACACTTGGTATCATATAATCCACTAATAAAGTGGATTCATTTCATCTTCCTACCTTCAATCCACCTTTATTGTAATCCTGTTCATGACATCATATGGTGGCTATAAGAGCTCAACATCCTGCAAATTAAAAAAAACAAAAACAACAAAACATCTTTAATGATTTGAAACACAGGGAAACCCCTCAAAAATACAGATACAAGTAGAAATGATGTTTTGGAGAGTTTTTACAGAGAGTTTCTGTATAATTCCATTTATAATGTCAGTATAATTTCATAATTCTCTGCTCCACATTTCAGTGAGCATAATCTTGTTTCATAATCTTCAAGAGTTCGAGGCAGTTCAAGACATTACACCAAATTTTGTTTGAATTCATACTGTTTTATGATCCAGATGATCAGATTTGAGTACAGCTACAGGTGGATAATTCACAGCCCTCTCCACCCCACAGTGCTTTCATTTAGTGGAAATAAACGATGATGGATGGAGTGTTTTCTTCTCCTGACCCTCCTCCCCGGTGCGTTTCTCATCCTCTGTGCAGGAAGAGAGCAAGTCACAGTGCCAGTAAGAGGAAGGGCAGCCAGAAGGACCTGCGGCCTCCGGACCTCTGGATCCACCACGAGGAGATGGAGATGAAGAACATGGAGAAAGCTCCCAGCATCGCACCGTCTGGCCATGATTCACCAATCCAGTCTTGCCAGGACCTACCCCAGGTGGCACACAGCCAATCAGAGAGCCAGATGGGGAGCAAAAGCAGCCATTCAGGTACAGCACTGATTCTCATTTACCAATCAATTTAGTATATAATGTGTATATCAAAGCTTCATTTAGTTACACTCATATTTTTTATGTGTTTAATTAGATTTAATCTTATAGTTTCTCTTTATTTTACATCATTACGTTTAAGATAAATGGGTTATGAATCTTGGTTTAATTAGCTGTGTAAACAGGCCTAATTAATAATGATAAAAACACAAAAGTATCAAATAAAGATCTTTTCCAAGTGGAAAATGAAACGCTAAACCTAAATCCAAACCAAGGAAATGAAGATGTCTGAATCCCTGATTGGGTTTTGATTGTGATGTTCCAGGAGCAGATGCTGATGAGGTTTCCAGCAGTATCTCCACTTTGGAGCGTTCTCTGGCTGCCAGGAGAGGAACTCGAAGCAAAATGATGATTCCCATGGACTCGCAGCCGAGCAACACACGTAAGTAACGCAACAGAATATATGGATATTGCTACTGTGAAGCTAAGCTTTCATATATGAAGTACTATTTTGAAGCATTTTGGCCTCTGACATGGGTTTGTTTGTTTGTTTTGTTTTTTATAGCTAGAAATGCTAACTTGGTTAGCAAGCTGGATCCTAATAACTGTACAGGTGAAACACATATGTTGCTAATAAAATACTAAACTTCTCGGACAGTCTGCTCAACCATTTCATTTGTCAGATAATTGCATTAAAGATGCTCCATAAGGCACTAAAGGTTCAGTTCATCCAATTAGTTTAATTGAATTGTTGGAATCACAGACTGTATATAAATAATGAACGTAGCTTCTGGGAGATCATGCCCTGGTTTGTTGTAAAGCTTCAAATGCATCTCAGCCTCATCTGAGGCTTTTTTTCACTCAATGAACATACCATGCTTTATTTTTTACTTTAATTAGGACCTTAATTTACAAAATAAACTTTGTGTTTTCTTCATTAAGACTCATAACTAGTGGTTGGGAACACACACTCATCACAAAAGTGTTTATTGAGGTCAGAGAGCACCAGAGCTGAGAGTTATTTTCTATCAGAATTCTTAATAGCCCGAAGTGTGTTTTCCAACCACAGGAGTCGCCCTCCAGTAGACATCTGGAAGACTGTGGGTTTAAGACACTTTTGCAGTGGATTCACAATCATTTAAGCTCTTGTATTTATCATGATTGTTTAGAGCTCTTTGCCTCTCGATCGCTCTCCTTCTTGGTCATGCAGCCCTCGCAGCCTGGAGGTTTGTTGCGGCTCATTGTCCTGCTGAAAACAAACAGTGTTCCCAGGGATGGTGTGAGCATTGTATCACCATATGCTTCACAGCAGGAACCTCCTTTACTACATCTCACAAACTCATAAAACCAAAGTTCCTATGACATCAAAGCCCTGATTTCCACTGGTCTGACGTCTATTCCTTTTCTCTCTTCTTCCAAATAGTTCTCTTCTTCTGCATATCATTGCCGTTCTGTAGTTCAACTATGATGGCCTGATTCTCACAGTCAAACTAAGAGTGTTTGATCTTTGAAACAGCCACTAAATTCCTTTTAAGGAGGATGGAGGGATGGTAGTGGCATAATTCAGATGACTTTTACCCAGGAGACATGAGTTTGAGATCCATGCGGGACTCTTTTTCTTTATTGCATAGTTTTCTATTCTTTTTGGTTGCTTTTCTCTAGGTTAGTAGTCCATCAGAGATTTTATATGCACTTATTCACACAACTGCAAAAGCCCTGATGCTTTGGTTACTTTCTGTTCATTGGTGATGTGCAATGAGTGATTATTATTAATATCAATTATTTTATGGGCTAAAAAAATCCCCCAAGTACTGGATTTGATGGACAGCATTACAAAATCCTCTCTCTTGTTGCGACTAAGCTCTGACTCGGATCCATCGGTAAATTGATTGTCATCATCCAGTGTGAAACTTTTGTATGTCTTGGGCAACACAAATCTTTAGCCTCCTCCTTTCCTGAGAAGTGGTTCAGCTCTAAGTTTACCAAATTGGGTCACCTATAAATTCATTTATCTTCTGATGGTGGGGTCAGGTTTGTTCTACCTCGTGGTGCTTTAGTCCATATCCACCTTATCTAGCTACAATTTGTTTTAAGGCTCATGGAGCTCACCCTTGAAACCTGACAATATAGCCATTATTTTATTATAATAAAGCTTCTGTGCTTCTACTAAGAATATGGGAATTTTGACACTATTACTTGGTTTTGATGCCATCATTTCTTTTACTGCCAGACACTTAATTTTCAGTCAGAGTGGCTGGTAGTTGTGAAATAGTACATACAGAAGAGCACTGAATTTGTTCATAGTTGCTAGGAAAATGTAGAACGCTAACACACAAACCGAGTGACCAATCAGTCAGTGACCTTTTCTCCAAAGCAACTCAGGTAGTCAGTAATGACTAATTTGTGTAGGGTGACTTTACTGCACCACAGTAAAGCAACCATCTTCAGTTAACCTGAAACTAGCAATGAGTGGATAAACATCAGTTAGCTAGCCTACATTAACTGAGGTAGTAATTGTTCTTCATTTCTCAAGGTTATGGGTTAAATAACAGTTGTTATTTTAAATATCAGGAAAAATATGGAAAATCACTTTCCTGAAAATTGGTGAAGCTCACACGTGCATTCTTATTTCTGTCTAAAGCTAGTGAGATATCATCACATTTGATGGAAAATCTGTGACTGAAAATTTCAAAATCATATATCGTATAATTAAAGAGCTCTACAGTTTCTCAGATTAACTTGGGAGCATACTGAACTGAACATATTTTACATTATGCTTAATATACGTCATTGCTCTTTCTATTGGTGCTTGAGCTTTCACATGGTACCTCCAGATGATGTCTCCAGTGGCCAGTTGCCTTAGGGTGATGATGATGATGATTGTCAGAGAGTTCATCTTTCTTCGACTTTCCAACTTTCTTTGGGAGGTTTAGATGTAAAAAGTCTTTCAGGCAAAGGCAAAAGCAAAGTTGAAGAGAGAGGCGTTCACACTTGCACCAACTTTCTCACACTGATAATTAGCCTGTTCATTCCCTCAGAACGACTCACGAGGACAGAGTGGGGGTGAGATCTGAGGACACGCCAGTGACGAGGGGATGAGCCTGGGAAAGACAAAATGAGGAAGGAGAGGCAAGCAGCGAAAAACTGGAAGAGAGTTGGCAAGATGAAGTGGGGAAAAAAGGAATGTTGCTGTGAAACCTCAAAGATTCGGTTTACAGTGTGCGACTCCAGCAGTGGCTCTGATCAGATCACATGAGGGGTTTCACATCAGACACAAGAGCAGCTTCAGTCAGTCAACACGGCTGTGACTGTAAAAGTTTTACCAAAGACATGATTGCATTTGTACTTTTCTTTGTCACTCACACTGATTAATGAGTACTGAGCCATTAAATTCAGTGTTCTACAACCACCTAATGGAGTCTGGTGAAGTTAAACAGCAGTTTACGGTTGGCTGGTCAGCACAACTTTAATTTTAAAGACGTTTATTGTAATGCATACCACACTATCTAAAAACAGACCCCTAAATTCTGCACTCTGTTTGGATGAATTTAAAGCATTAGTCTGTAACAGTGAGTCATCAGTGTAGAAAGAATAGCTGGAGTTTGATACAAACTGAGTTTTCTATCTCATTCACTACTGTTTTTCTCCAGATATCATTGTATCTCAAAGATAATTTGGCTATACATTGACCCTCTTTAGGGTGTTATTCCCTTTATCAGAACTGGCTGTTTTCGATATTACAATACTTCATTTAAAGGCACATTCTGCAAAGACGTCTCTAGTGATCACTGCTGCGTAATTTGGCAGATTTGCAGTTTTGGAAATGATTCTTTGACTTAAGTACTCTAACTCATCATAATTCTCATGGAAAAAAACAATAAGTTGGTAGCACCTTGTAGAAGCTTTTCAGTTCATAGCATAAGGCCCTGTTCCTCTCAGAGAAGACTGTGGATAAAAGGAGCATGGCCACCGTGGCATCAGCAGTTTCACATTATTGATATTACTATCTTTTTTAATATTATAATATTATCTAATATTTGAGTATTTGGAGAGATTTGGAGAGGGTCTGCAATACATTGGCAACTTGTCCAGGCTGTACCCCAGCTCCTGCTCTATGAAAGCTAGAATAGGTTCTAGCCCAACAGTGAGGCACCAACATCCCAAACAAAATCAGTGACTTTCATTGATGCCTAGAAATGTCTGTCAGCTATCACTGACTGACTGGCTGACTGACTGACTGTGTCAGCAGTTCCCTAAAACACAAAAGTTATGGTCATAACCCAAAATGTAGGTTACAATAAGACAACACAACCAGCACTCACAAACATGAAACAGACCTATGTCAAACACCATCCCCTCAAACAGCACACAGCTGATGGCTTATCCAAGGCTGAGATCTTAATAGAAACATAAAGTCACTGTAACGCCCTGGTCTTGCCACTAAAGAAAACCCACCCAAATGATTACCTCTTGTTACATGATTTAGGAAAGTACAAACTGACTGGATTAACTGGATTAAAATCCTTTACTTAAACCATTTAACTAACATAATTTAGAAGAATGTTAAGTCTGGTTTAAAGAGTCAGTCCAAGTCATCTCCTCCAGTATTTCTTCAGACATGTCATGTCCCTTCATTTTTATCATACCCCTTTAGAAGCTCTTGCAGTCCTTAATTACACCAGTCTCCTGTCATTTCCATAAGACACCTTTTAACTGTAGCACTTGTGAAGTCTCTAAAGCCGTCTAAGACTATGTCAAATTCTGTTTGATGTGCATCACCCTCATCGGCTCTTCATCCTCGCACCAACTCTGTCCCACTTCCAGAATCGCAGTGACACCTCCTCCTGTCCCAGCACCCATCGCACTGTGGGTGGAGTTCATAGTGTAGGCACTTGACTTTAAACAGCTGTTTGTATAAAGCTGTTTCCTTTCACCATGAGGTTGATGCAGAACATCTGCAGAATCTCTATGATACCAAATTGTGTCTATGAACCAGTTTTGTGCACAGAAGCAGGTTGTCTAATTACGGTGTTCTCTCTCTGTGGAGTGAATATGTTTTCAGTCACATCAGTGAGCAGAATGTTTCACATTGTAATTACCGTGCTCTCATTCTGGCTGCATGTCTTGAAGGATTTGTGTCCTCTTTTCTCTCTTTTATTTCTTCTTCTTCTGATGTGCAGTTGCTGCTGTTGTTTAACCCAGTTGTAACAAACTGGAGTCACTGAGCTGAAGCGTAGCATCCAGGTTATAATGCTGTGTGGTTATTTCTGGAGAGAGTGAGTCAGCGGCCGAGTGATAATTCTTGTTAGCATGTGACAAGGACTGTGAGTTTACATAAATGTGGGTGTTTGTGATATGTGGGTCACCGTAAAGCAGGAAAACCCTCTGGCTTTCTCTGCCAACACTCAGACCTGTTTCCTATTCAATTTTTTCCCTCTTCCT